CCCCCCCCCCCCCCCCTCTCCCTCTCTTCCCCTCTCTCTCACTCTCTCTGAAATAGTTAAATTAAATTCATGAAAAGTATAATCCAAGAGACAAAAGGGGGAAGTGAGTAGTTAAAATAAATTCATGGAAACTGAAAATTCAAAAATGAGAAAGGGAAGAGTGGAAGAGACAAAAAGGGAAACATACTTCTTCATCTCTCTCTCCCTCCCTTCGGCAACCACAACAAGCGATAAGCTTTGAAGCCATGGTCAAACCTAGTCCTCTCCTCCTCACCTCGACTATAGTACCCTGAACCCATCTTCCACCATCTCGAACCCACTTCTCACAGAACATTCGAATGCCTCTTCTAGCCTCCTTCAACCACCTCTATCCTCTAATGAAGCTTCTTTTGTCTTCCACCTACGACCAACTTCAGGTAATTTTTTTTTCTTTTTTTAATTTTCTTTTTTTGCTTTCGTTTTTTATTTGACCCAATTTCTTATAATTATTAGATAAGGTATAATCAATAGTAGTTTATTGATTAACTAAATTTATTAACTTTAACTCACTAATTAAGTGTTGTGAACTTGTAATTTTATTTAATTGAGTTTAGTTGAGTTCATTGATTGGTAATTTCTCTTTTGTAATATAGTCTAACTTAGTTCATTCTTTCGTGTTTAGTTTAATTAATTAAACTAAACATCGTTCATTGTTACTTTAGAATTATTTACTTTCATATTCATCTACTTAAATTCAAGTTGATATGTCAATTATTTGCTATTGTTGTTAGTTTAATTTCACACTCAAACTAGAGAACTTTGTGGTCGTCTGATAGATATGAGCTACAAATTGTTATTCACTTATTTGTTACAGTTACAGTTGATTTGATCTATGGATTGTTCTTTTTAATGTGTTTAGGCCCCAAGTTTCTCTGTCTAATAAAAGGGGAGAGTGAATCGTTAGCATAGATTCATGACAATCGTAGTCCAAGAGATAAAAAGGAGGAAGTGCATGGTTAGCAAAGATTCATGAAAGTGTAAATCTGAAAACAAAAAAGGGGAGAGCGGAAGAGACAAAATGGGAAACAAACAAATATAAATTCAAAAATAAGGAAGGGGATAGCAGAAGAGACAAAATAGAAAACAAACATACACTTCTTTCCCTCCCTTCACCACTCTGAAAATTACAGCGTGTAATGAGCTCTGAAGCTACAGTCAAACCTAGTCTTCTCCTCCTCACCTCGAACTCTTCTCCTTCTCACCTTGAATGCAGTCCCTCGAATCCCTCTTTCACTATCTCAAACCCAGTTCTCTCGGTACACCCGAGCGCCTCCTCTACCTTCGGTCTCCTCCGGCTACCTCTAATCTCTAATGAAGCTTCTCCTATCTTCCACCTCCAATCAACTTTAGGCAAAATGTTAATACTTTTTAATTTTTTATTTTATTTTTTGCTTTTTTTATTTGATCCAATTTCTTGTATAATTACTAGATAATGGGTAGTCCATAATAGTTTAGTGATTAACTAAGTTTAATAACTTTAACTTAGTATTTAAGTGTTATCAACTTGTAATTATGTTTAATTAAGTTGGCTGAGTTCATTGATTGGTAATTTATATTTTCTAATATAGTCTAACTTCAGTTCCTTGTTTTGTGTTTAGTTCAACTGTTAGTTTTATTAATTAAATAGTTTTATTAATTAAACTAAATGTTGTTCATTATTAGTTGAGAATTATTTACTTTAACATTAATCTAGTTTAATTCAAAGTTGATATGTCAATTAGTTGTTATTGTTGTTAGTTTAATTCTACATTCACATTATAGAACTTTGTGGTTGTCTGACTGATTTGAGCTATGAATGGTTATTCACTTATTTTTTATAGTTGATTTGATCCATGGATTTTTTTTTTTTTTGGAAAAAATGTGTTTAGGCCCTAAGTTTCTCATGGATGGAAGACTAAGCGATTAGCATAGATTCATGAAAAGAGTAATTCAAGAGATTAAAGAAGAAAGTGAGTAATTAAGATGAATTCTTGAAAAGTATAAATTCAAAAACGAGAGATGGGAGGGAGGAGACTAAATGGAAAGCAAATAAGTGCAAATTCCAAAATAAGAAAGGGGAGAATGGAAAAGACAAAATAAGAAACAAACATACCAGCAATCACAGCAATCACAGCAAGCGATCAGCTCTGAAGCTACAGTATCGTCTCCTCCTTGCCTTGCCCTCCTCTCCTCCTCGCCTCAAATGCAATCCCTCAAACCCAACTTTCACCATCTCAAGCTCAGTTCTCCCAGAACACCTGAGCGCCTCTTCTACCTCCGGTCACCGCTAACCTCTAACAAAGCTTCTCTTGTCCTCCCTCTCCCATTAACTTCAAGTAAAATTTTTATTCTCTTTTAATTTTTAATTCTTAATTTTATTTTTTTGCTTCTGTTTTTATCTATATTCTTGTATAAATATTAGATGATGAGTAGTCCATAGTAATTTATTGATTGACTAAGTTTATGAACTTTAACTTAGTATTTAAAAGTTTTTTTTTTTTTTTGGTAACGAGGGAACCCCGGTTAGCACTCCAGCGCCCCATTTTTGGGTCTGGCGGAGACCACAGATCGAGTCCCCCCGATCCCCCCACAACTGCAAGGAGCTTCGCCCAAATGATTAGGGGGCTCATCCCCATGTGCCAGGGCCAACGAGACCCACTTGCACCGGGCGAGCAGTGTGTGGACCAAGACAACCCAACCGGACCCCTAACTACCAGGCTGGGGTACTAACAAGGAAAAACCCCGGTCTCCACCCCACCCTTAGAGCGTGGACAACAGGTGAAATGCTGACGGGAATCGAACCCGGGACTAGCATGGGCACGAGACCCTAGGAGCCGAGTCGCTCCCCATGGCGCTGCTAGCCACGAGCCCACCCGCGGGTGGTTAGTATTTAAAAGTTGTAAGCTTGTAATTGTGTATAATTAAGTTTAGCTAAGTTCATTGATTGGTATTTTCTATCTTCTAATATAGTCTAACTTAATTCATTGTCTTGTGTTTAGTTTAACTAAGTTAGTTTAATTAATTAAATTAAATATCGTTCATTGTTAGTTTAGAATTATTTTAATATTAATCTAGTTTAATTCGAAGTTGATATGTTAATTAGTTATTATTGTTATTAGTTTAATTTCGCATTCACACTATAGAACTTTGTGGTTGTATGATTGATTTGAGCTATGGATTTTTACTCACTTATTTGTTAAAGTTGATTCGATCCATGAATTGTTTCTTGGAAAAAAAAAGTGGTTAGGCCCCAAGTTTGAGAACCTCATGTGACTAAGCCACTCACTTTTCTAGGCATGTGTTTAGGCCCTAAAGTTGAAGTTTTTATGTATTTAAACCCCCCTCAACCCATATTTTTCTCTCATCCTCAAAATATCCTTCATCTTCTTCCTCCTCTCTTGTACTCTCTCCTCTCTTCTCCTCCAACCCACCTCCGCCCTCATCTCTCCTACACTCATCCTCCTCCCTCCTCTTCCCTTCACCCAACTTCATTTCCTCCCTCCTATTTCTCCTTCATCTCTATCTTGCAAGGTTTTAAATGTCGACCGTCATGTCTGAGAAGCCAGTCGACACGTCGGATCGGGAGGGCTGACGATACGACATTAGGATTTTGTCGTACATCGTTTTACCAGCTCATATCAGACATGCCATGCGCCATTGCGGACATTGTGGGTTTGGGTTTGGGTAATAAATCATCGGGTTTGGGTAATAAATTCAAACCCAAATACTTAAAAAATCCTAAATACCGATGATTTTTATTTTTATTCCGATAGTTGTCTAGGGCAAATAGAACCCGATAGCAAATTAGGGCAAGATAAAACATCACTCCTTTTCTCTCGTTCCTTTGACATCGCAGCTCCGAAGCCCCTCCGCTTTCATCATCAAGCTTCCAATTCGGCGATGAAGAACTAAGCACTCAACCAAAGGTAAGTCTATCTCTCCCTTGTTCTCTCTCTCTCTCTCTCACTAACTATTCTTTGTTTCTTTGTCAATCTCAGATTGTGCAAAGGGGTTTCGCGGATTAGAGATTTGTTCAATTTTTCTATCTTCTCTCTCTTGTTCTAACTTCTAATTTAATTATTGTTTCTCGTCAAGGACTCGAGGTAAGTTGGCCGCTTGATCTCTTTATTTTTCCCTATCAAACATAGTTATATGGGAATCAAGTTTCTACAATCAGTTAGTGACCCTAAACATCATATGTTCTACTTTGTATATGTTTAGACTATAAATTTATAAAGTATGCTCAAATTGCATTTAAGAATGCTTAGATTTTATTTAGGACATGACATTATACATATGTGCACCACCTGATATAGCGATCTGACATTTATTATGTCCCTCGACATATCTCTAAATTTTCCCTATTTGATATGGATTTTAGCTGTCTGATATGAACCCGACATCTGACATTTAAACACTTGCTACCTCGTCCCTCCTCTGCCCCTCTCCTCCATCTCTACCTCGTCCCCTCCATCTCTGCCTCGTCCCTCCTCTGCCCCCCTCCTTCAACTCACCCTCTTCCACTTCCACCCTCCTCTCTCCTCTTTCTCCATATCCATCTACCCTTTCTCCTTCCACAAACGCCACCATATCTTGGAAATTTAAATGGAGAGTCAATTATGAGTTTATGAGGGATTTCAGTCTGCTTTGTCTAATAGCAAGCTTTTAGGGTTGAGTTCACCTATATCCCTTACACTACACAATGTATTTCTCTAACACATTGATCAATTGATCAACACCGTCATTCGATAACACACATTCAGCCAAAGCAGTAGCCATTATATTTAAAATGACGATCGATAATACATATAGTTCAGCAATAGCAGTTCTAATTTCAACATCTAAACAGAAAAATAAATAAATAAATACCTTGCAAATGCTGCCGAATGAACACAACCAACAGCAGCAACGAGAAGGGCAAAATCTGCTCGATCCACCTCGCAAGCTGCTGTATATCGTACCTCTGATACGATGAATCCCTTCCAGTCCCTTCCCCCTCCAAATCACTCCTCCTCTCTGACGCCGAATTCGACGAGTCCTGCGAATTCAAAGGACTCACTCCTCCACCTCCTTCCTCTCTCTCATCACTCCCTGTACTCTCATCAGGAATCGATGAATCCGCTTCCCGCTCTAAAACCCGAACACTTTCTTGATCGCCGGCGCCGATGATTCGTATGGAGACCTCGCCGTCGCTGGGCGCAGCGGGGGCCAAGGGTTCTGACTCCTGATGGCTTGATCGAGGGTTTTGCAAGATTCCAGAGTATTCTAATAGAGTTGAGAGAGGAGCCTGGATGAAACTGAAGGGGGAGAACTGGACGCTGTATCTTCTGGAAGAGCCA